TACCCCCCACACACACGCCGGCGCGTTTGTGTGTGTGCTGGGTGATGTTGGGAGTTAGGACTCCCCCTCTACCAAGGGTGGCCAAGGTTGAGAAACACTGCCTTAGGGAGCAGACTTCCTCTGTGTTGTGGAGACGAGTTACAAGATCTGGAGAGGTTTCTGGAGACCTCCAAGGGCTCATCAAAGTTCTCAAGTTCAATTTTTATGGGCCACCCTCTCGATTTTCCCCAGCAAAAGTAGAGTTTATTTATCTATGGAAAATGGAAACCACTAGTTTGGAGGAGGAATCCCATTAAAAAGACGGGCAGAGTACTAATGATCATAGTTGTACCCATTTATGATATCCCGAGACACGCTTCGCTCTCCCCAGGTATTTCCAAATTTGAGGGTCATACAGTTAAATTTAACCTCCATTATCTTGTAAGGGATGTCAACCCTTCACTTACATTTCAGGTTGCAAAATATCTTTCGGAGCCAACAACTGTGCAAAGCTGTGACTTAAGTTGTTCTGCCAGCTGATTCTTTTGATAACAGGTTTCCTGTAGCAATTTATTTTCTTTTTCCTATTTGTAACACTGGTCAATGAATCCAATAAAAGATAAGTGACAGTTGTATAATGACTACAGGGAAGAATTACGAACTTCCCCTTCCACCCTCGATTCAGGATGCATTGGTCTGTTCTGATTTATACCAAGAAGTCAAGAGAAACTGCTATCTATTTGTGGAGAGAAACTGAGATAAGGAATCCAGGCCCTGAGTTACGCCAGATCCAACGGTCATAAAGCAGATTTATGGAAACAGCCATGATATAAAGTATATTGCAGTAGTTGTAAAATTATAATTATAAAATTAGCAAACAGAAAATAATTCAAGGGGAGGCCCCAAGAAGGAGGTTATAAAATCAGAGAAAGTGCAAAAAAAGCAGTTAATTAGCCAAACATACTTTAATATACCCTTTTTCGTGTACAGTATATGCAATAATATTTCATATAATTACCCATTAAAACTGTATAACAAGAAGGGTGAAATCAATGTCCAATTAAAATTATCAGTGAAAAGGATGAATGTATTTTTATGGCATTTGCATGGCTCCTTAAAACGGATACACAAAATATTCCAATGTTCAATGCCAATTTTTTAAATACATTTTTAAAAAAAAACAGGATTGAAAATTGGCTGCCAAACAGCGTGAAACACTATCACACACAAACATACACACAATCCTGTTGTCCAGGGAGTTCTATATCCAATGAAGTAAAATTTGATCTTTTTGCGTGCGGTGGCAGTAGGGGTGTTACTAATCTAAGTAAGATTAGTATTTTACTCAACTAGCATGATCCACACCACCCTTCCAGATATGTGGGCTTCAAATCCCAGAATCCTTAGGGCTGGCTGTGCGGGACAGGGAATTCTGGGAGTCCAAGTCCACACATCTGGAGCATGCCTATTTGGAGAGAGCTAGATCAAATAAACTTCTGATTTAAACTCATTTCACCAGGCCCAGCTCTTCAGCCAGGATCACTGCCAGTTTAGAAATCTGCTATCAGTAACAGAGATGGATGTTGGGGTGCTTACAATCCAGGTTTGGCAAGAGTCAGGAGGCTGGTTTGGTATAGACCGGTGTGAGGGAGTGAAGTTGCTGTCTGTGCTTGGGAAAAGTAGCTGCAGCCGGGCAGAAACGCTTCTCACCCCATTTCCTTCATTTCCCTAACTCCACCTTTACTCACACGTATCCATGCGGGCACGCCAGCTGCCGTGATCACGAGCCCCACCCTGGCGTGGCCAAGGACCTGCCAGCATTAGAAGAGCAAGTGCCAAGACAGAGGGGGGAAGGTGTGTGTAGGGGGAAAGGTGATAAGCAAAGGGCAGACAGACAGGGAAGCGGAGGCGACGTCTGGAGCGGGACAGCTATGGCAAGCAGGCAAGAGGATCATCATTCAACGGCCAGGACCACAAGTTATGGGGAGCGCCAGATCCTGGTGGGGGTCCTTCCTGGGGCTTTGCCGGGAGCTCAGGAGCAACTAGAAGAAGAACCACACTGAAGCCACACCTCATCTCAACTAGAGCAAGAACGTTTGGGAAAAGGCAAAGGTTGTATGCCCCTTTACAGACTTTGTATATTTATATAGACTCTATACACTTTATAGACTTTTGCTTGAACTAAGTATTGAAGGACTGAGTATTAAAGACGTATTTGCAGGGCAACATCTCCTTGTGAGAGCTGGACCATAAAGAAGGCTGAGTGCCGAAGAATTGATGCCTTGACTTAAGAGTCCCCTGGACTGCTAGGAGGTCAAACCAGTCGATCTTAAAGGAAATCAACCCTGACTGCTCATTGGAAGGATTGATACTGAAGCTCGAGATACTTTGGCCACCTAATGTGAAGAGAGGACTCTTTGGAGAAGACCCTGATGCTGGGAAAGACTGAAGGCCAAA